GTCAGGGATAAATGTTATTATGACGGTAAAAGTGACCATAATATTTGTCTTAATGTGTAATGTTATGTCAAATTGTTTTAGATACACACCACGAAAACAACAGCCACACACCTTGACTTTTCCTCATGTTTTGGCTAACGTTATAGCCAGCTGCAAAGAGAGACGTCGGCTGACGTTTCTGTGGAGGAGGAGGCGAGCCAACTAAGTGATGATATTGTATAGCAATTCTTGGTTCGGGGTCTTTTCTGCTTCCGGGCTGCTTGGGCAGCCTGGGGGTTGGAAGATCTCTGGACTTGAAGTGTTAATTCTTGCCTGTGACTCTTTGAATAAACCAGCACGGTTATATTTTTTATATACTCAAGTGGTCTGAGTCGTCCCTCTGAGTTCCTGGTTTGAAAGAACCGGACGAGGCTTTATAATAGAATAGAGCCTATACTCTGATGTGCCTTCTTGATGATGGTCCTGATGTTGGACCTGGGAGACAGTGGAGCCCATGAACTTGTAGGACTTCACTGCTGATACAGTGCTGCCAAGTATGGTGAGTGGGGGTAAGGTGGGAGGACTCCACTGTCATCTCCACTGTTCTGAGCGTGTTCAGCTCCAGGTTGTACACCACAGGACCAGCTGCTCAACCTCCCATCTGTAGGCTGACTCGTCGCTGTCTCAGATGAGTCCAATGACCATTGCGTTATCAGCAAACTTTAGGAGCTTGACAGAGGGGTCCTTCGAGATGCAGTCATTGTTGTAGAGTGAAAACAGCAGAGGGGAGAGTACACATCCCTGGGGGGCACCTGTGCTTATTGTCCGGGTGTTGAATGTGGTTTTCCCCAGCCTCACCTGCTGCTTCCTGTCTGTCAGAAAGCTTGTAATCCACTGACAGGTGGGAGCAAGCACAGTGAGCTGGGTCAGTGTGGTTTCAGGTATTTTCCCATTTAGGGGTCGCCACAGCGAATCGTCACACTGATGACTTGCATGTTGACATTTGGCACGTGTTTTACGCTGGATGCCCTTCCTGACGCAACCCTGATTCGAACCAGCGCCACAGTGGCGAGAGCGCTTAACCACTAACCTACCAGGGATGACTAAATACTTTCAGCAAATGGGAAAATTCAACCTCAGCATAATTTCAGCTATCAAAATGTTCAGCTCTTCAAGGACATTCATGCTTCTCCAGAATTTTCTACATCTCATACCTTTGAAATATTTTGCTTATTTTGAAAGTTTTGTCCTCTTCAAATACAGTGCCTTGCGAAAGTATTCGGCCCCCTTGAACTTTACGACCTTTTGCCACATTTCAGGCTTCAAACATAAAGATATAAAACTGTATTTTTTGTGAAGAATCAACAACAAGTGGGACACAATCATGAAGTGGAACGAAATTTATTGGATATTTCAAACTTTTTTAACAAATAAAAAACTGAAAAATTGGGCGTGCAAAATTATTCAGCCCCTTTACTTTCAGTGCAGCAAACTCTCTCCAGAAGTTCAGTGAGGATCTCTGAATGATCCAATGTTGACCTAAATGACTAATGATGATAAATAGAATCCACCTGTGTGTAATCAAGTCTCCGTATAAATGCACCTGCACTGTGATAGTCTCAGAGGTCCGTTTAAAGCGCAGAGAGCATCATGAAGAACAAGGAACACACCAGGCAGGTCCGAGATACTGTTGTGGAGAAGTTTAAAGCCGGATTTGGATACAAAAAGATTTCCCAAGCTTTAAACATCCCAAGGAGCACTGTGCAAGCGATAATATTGAAATGGAAGGAGTATCAGACCACTGCAAATCTACCAAGA